AGCATATGCCTCCTTCAGGTCTCCTTCTCAACAGGATGGTGGGGTGTAGCTTTTACCCCACTTTTAAACATTTGTCCCAACCTCCTATTTTGTCTGTGGGAGAGATATTTTTCTGGGGAATTAAGGAGCTATCTTTAGAATAACTCCTCACCATGATCTCCATCCTCTTCAGACTCCTCCAGATTCTTCTCTTCTCCACTCAGCAACACCCTTCCTTGGGTGGGTCAGGGAACCTGGAACCTTCTCTTTTCCTGGGGACCACCCTGTTACAATACCACACAAATGAGCAGCAAGATGGCCTTGCAGATCTCACAAAGATGCGGTATCTGTTACAGGGACAAAAGAACCTGGTGGTGAGGTGATGAATAATGACCAGACTGATGCCCAGAGGGCAAGGATAGGAATGAAAAGATCAAGAGCAACTGGAGGTGGGGGCATAACGATGGGAAGTAAAGAAAAACTCCTCACCATGATCATGCCACTGAATCCCAATGTCACGCGAAGAAGGGATGGGTAGCTATGGGTGTTTGCTTTAGAAACTATATTCTTTGTCTTTTCTATGATGCACACTCATTGTATTACAGTTCCTTCCATTAGAGGCTTTATATGTTCTGTCTTGATGTGGCAGATGGCAGAACCTATTTAGAGCAGGCAGCTTTGGGGGTTCAGCAGTGTCCCTATCTCCCTGCCTTGTAACACTATTATGCACCCCTGACTTTTGTCTGTGGCCCCTGGTCCTGCTCATCACCTGGAGGAATCTACTTCTGACTGGGGCCTTACCACTAGGGTCATTGTCCCTGCTCCCTCTCATCCAGCAGCTCCAGCCTCCCCTGGAGCTTCAGAGACAAAGAGCTCCCTACAGTCCTTTTCATTCAAATTGCATGTTGCTCAGATTCCAACCACTCTAAAGAGTGGGAGGGTTGAAAAGGTCTATTTCAGAAAATTGGCATCTCAGGATTGCCACATTTTGCTGGAATTCCAGAACAGGAAAAAACATTTGGTAAGAGACGGAAACACACACACACACTCTTTAACATAAATTTGGTTCTAATATCAAAGTTCCCAAGCATCATAATTCTCAACACTGTAGAAAAATACTCAGTAATCCTCTTTTTTTCTTTAGTTTGAAAAGGTAATGTTCGCTTTCCTACCCTCCAAGAGAAAACCCTGTCAGAAGGGCTGGTCTATCACCAGGACAACTCTGAAACACAAGGCAGACTTACTGAAAGATTTACAGTTCTTAGATGCAGGGGAGGATCAGAAAGATCCTGATAGCAGCTTCCTCAATAAAATAACCCAGTACAGAATCAATTCCTGCAATGAGCCCATAGCATTTGTGTTGGGGAATTTTATACTAATTGGTATGTTACACAATTCTGGGCTTCTTTCTAGATGCAGAGGAGAGACTCTTAGGACAACTACATATACATATATTACCAAAGTGTCAACAACCTGACCTCCAGAAAGGGACAGCAGTGACAGTATCTAGAAAACAACGCACTGATGAAAACCCCAGGGGAGATGTATGCTCAAGGCTTAATTACTCCCCAGGTTCAACTAAAGCACAATCAAGTTCGAAATCGCTTTCTCTTTCCGTTTCTAAGGCTTCTGTGACCCAGGGAGAATTACTTCTCAGGGTAGCTAAGAGATGCTTTGTGCTTTTGCTCTTCAAATACTGTTTTGCTTGCAAGGCCTCATGAGAGGCCTCACAGACCCTATTCTGTGCCACATCATGGCCTAGGACCTGAGCAGCTGGGGGGTAGGAAGAGGGCTAAGGAAGGGAGGGTTCACATGCAAGTCACAGAACACTCCTAAGTTAAAAGGTCACAGAACTCCCAAAAGCATCCCAAGGGAGGGATTGTGCTTCCAGCAGCCTGTTCCTGCTTGTAATCCTGCCTGGGCTTTAGGATGTGCACCCAGAGTGTGCTGGGACAAATTAGTTGATGCCACTGTGCAAGTAGTTATGGAAAGACCACATTTCACTCTCCCAAATGTCAGGGTCTGGATGCTAAGATTACATGGTCCCCTAAGGAAGTATGACTAAATTCCTGGATGGCAGCTGGCTACCTTACTAGTTTCAGTTCCATTTGACCTCTGACCTCAGAACACAGTATGTATAAATTCTCTGGTTTCTGTATCTGCAGCGGCACGGTACAGAGAGGTGGGGTCAAACCGCCTGCTACGATCTCAAGCTCCTGACACTTAACAGCAGGGAGACTTGGGCAAGATCTTTAACAGTTCACAGTTGAAATAAAATGGGGATAAAAGTCATTGCTAAGAGGATCAATGAGTTCTTATTTGTAAGTGTTTAGAACAATGCCTGACATGGGGTGAGCATTCTGTAAATGTGTGCTAAGTAAAAAAAACCAAACATGCATTCTTTATGATTTAACAGGTGTAAAGACTATAACTGCTCTGGACAACCCCACCTCTGGCCTCAAAGGCAGGAGAGCAAAGCCATCCAAACAGACTTGCAATCAGAGGCACACTTCCTTTTCTGTGAAGCAGCTATGCAAAAATCTGCCACCTGCAGGTTAACCACTGTTTCAACCCCTACTAAAGAACAAGGAGCCCTAAAAAGATGATTTAAACAATGGGTACCCAAGCCAGCATTTTCTTCTCCACAGTGCATTCCATAGAAATCATGAATTAGACCCCAGGATATTCCTTTGTCTTGAGTTGATAACATCAGTATGTCTTTAGGTCAAGATAACTGAGAAAATGGAAAGCTCTAAGCCTACAGACAAAAATCACAAGACTTCCTCCCAACACAGGAATTTACTTTTTTTCATGTCAATGACATGCTGTATGACGAACTCATACTTGTGATTGCTTAAACAGTTCTCAAAGTAAAATCAATGGTACTATTTCCCAGATTTGAATCTCACTATGATTACCTAATAAATTCTTTTTCTACCTATCATTGAGACTTTTATTTCAGTCAACAAAGGTTAAAGAGATAGCTATAAAGGGATGTGTGTGGGAGAGGTAAACCTGTATGTTAAACCCACCCTACTTAGGACTTCTTGCTAGCACAAAATCTTAGTGATACTGGGAGGTGCTAGCCCCACAAGAAGGGAATACCTCTAAGAGGATCCCTTTATTCCAGGTGGATTATGATCAACTAAATACAACTACCATGAAACCAGCTCAAACTGATCAAAGAAACCAAGACCAACATCTCACATTGCAGATGGTTGTCAAAAGCCATCAAATATCTTCCTCAACTGTTTTATGTCCAGGATTGAAGAGAATCCCTTGTCTTTCATATACACAGCAACTATACCTGCACAACTATGTAAGTGATTAAGTTGAAAGGTATTCTAGTAACAAATTTTAGATGAAATTCTGAACAACCAATTTTTACGACAAAAACATCTCAGACATACCTGATGTATAAAATTCCATGTGATGAAGTCTAAAGATAGCTCTTTAATTCCCCAGAAAGATATCTCTCCACCAAAGACAAAGTAGGAAGTTGGGACAATAGTGTAAAAGTGGGCTACACCCCACCATCCTGTTGAGAACAAAAATTACCAATCGAGATATACTGCTCTGTGAAAGCATCAACTTAGTCACTTAAGTTTTGTCACAGTTTTGCCTTTAAGATTGTTTCAACATTCCCACATGATTTTAATTACCTAGTAAGATCATAAATTCTATGCAACAGAACAGCTGTTTTGGAAGAACAGTCCCTGCAGCAGTCCAGCTTAAGTTCCGAGGGCACAACAGCGCATAGACCAGTGACGAAGTAGTCACTGAACCAACAGAAAGCTGAGTAATTTCATCGACGGAATTTTTTTTTTTAAGAGGAGGAAGATTCATATACTTCTATTTTTAAGCAGTGGTCTCAGATTCATTCTCCCTAGATCTGTCAGTCACTTACCCAAGGGATGAGATTCCTAAGGTTTTCAAATTCTGAACCAATGTGAAGAATGCAAAGGATGAAGGCTCCGCAGAAAAACAATATGTAGCCAGGGGCGTATTAAGAACACAACATTTAAGTCTGCCATGGCGGAGTCTGACACTAGAAACTTTTCCATTTTGTAATCGTTTTTTTTTTTTAAATAAATGGATAAAACCAAGGAGTCATTTCCAGTATTAGCACCCAATTACTAAAGTATTATAGCCCTTAAAAGAGAGACCTAAAGCACACCGTACCCATTTACTTTGATTTCACTAACTTAATGCACATTTCTTTCAAAATAATGTCGCTAAGTAGGGAGCTGAACAAGCATCTACACTTGAGATTCCCACTAGATCACATTTAGCAAAAGGGTGGGGTGGCCCCTCATGACTTAGTGCCACTGTCCAGACAGGGAAGCCGGATCCCCACGAAGCTGACGGATATCCGTGCTTCCACCCTCCATCACTTCAACAAGTGCCCTCTCTGGGCTTCGGCCAGTCACGCCCAACTCTCCAGCTCTCCGTGGAATTTCTCTAGTCCTTAGCGTTTCATTTTCACAAGCGGGACTGCTTCCTCTTCTGCTTAAGCCGAATATTTTCCTGGTATCCCGGTGACATTTTCCCACAACTACACCTCACGGCACTCGCACCAAGACCCTCCAGCTGCCAACCCACTCGAAACTGCCCGGCGCCCCGCACTCTGCGCCTGCGCCGCTCCCGGGGACCCCCCCCCAACCCCCCGCCCCAGACGCCTGACCCTCCGCCGAGAAGGGGAAGGGGGAGCACAAGCCCTGAGACGCAAATAGGTCACTCCCTAGTCCTCCATATGCGCTCAAGAAGCGAGAGAGCAAGCAACCCCGGGAGGCGGAGGAAGAAGGAGAAGGAGGGACGGGCCGGAGCCTCCCTGTCACCGGGGTCCCCACACCTTCCAGCACCCGGACGCCCTAGGGCCGCGATGCAGCGGCTCCTGCCGCACGACCTTTCGGGACGCCCCGGGTAGTTTTCCAAGGACGCCTCGGGACCGCGCCCCGTCAGCCCCCGGCATTGTTCGCGCTCCTGGACTGGTCCGGGAGGCGCCCCGGCGCGGCCCCTACCTCTGCCAAGAGCCCGAGCAGCAGCGCCGCCAGTCCCCCGGGCAGGCGGCCCATGGTTCCAGGCCCTCCGCGGCGCCGGCCTCGGGTCGC